CTGGGGCGGGGCAGGGGGGGGGACGGGGACGGGGACGGAGAGAGTGACTGATAGTTGGTATGAGGGTTTTTTTGGGGGGTGATGAAAATATTCCGAAACTAGACACTGGTTACGGCTGCAGAGAGCTGTGAATATATTAAAAACCACTGAATTGTGAGCTTTTTAAAGGTGAATATTGCCCTAGCTGGTTTGGTTCAGTGGATAAAGTGTCAGCCTGAAGGCTGAAGGGTCCTGGAGGTTTCAATTCCAGTCATGGGCACATATCCAGGCTGCAGACTTGATCCCCAGTGTGTGGCATGCAGGAGTCAGCCAATCAATGATTCTCTCATCCTATGAATGATTCTCTCATCATTGTTGTTTCTCTCTCTCTCTCTCTCTCTCTCTCTCTCTCTCTCCTCCCTTCCTCTCTGAAATCAATAAAAACATTTTTTAAAAAGGTGAATATTATGCTATGAATTATATCTCATTAAAAATACTGCTGCCCTAGATGGTTTGGTTCAGTGGGTAGAGGGTTAGTCTGCAGACTGAAGCGTCCCGGGTTCAATTCCATTCAAGGGCATGTACCTTGGTTGCAGGTTCGATTCCCCAGCCCTGGTCAGGGCTTATGTGGGAGGCAACCAATCAATGTGTCTCTCTCACATCGATGTTCCTCTCCATCTCTACCTCTCCCTTCCACACTCTCTAAAAATCAATGGAGCCGAAACCGGTTTGGCTCAGTGGATAGCGCGTCAGCCTGCGGACTGAACGGTCCCAGGTTCGATTCCGGTCAAGGGCATGTACCTGGGTTGCGGGCACATCCCCAGTAGGAGATGTGCAGGAGGCAGCTGATCGATGTTTCTCTCTCATTGATGTTTCTGACTATCTCTCTCCCTTCCTCTCTGTAAAAAATCAATAAAATATATTTTTTAAAAAAATCAATGGAAAAATATCCTCTGGTGAGGATTAAAAAAAAACAAAAAACTGCAAAGAACCACCCCCCTGCCCCAATCAAATGCCAAACTATAGTAAGATGATCTTCATCTTGCCTTACTAAGAGTCCATAACTACTTAGAAGATAGTTTCATTATAGCTGATGAAACCCATAGAAGAAAATGAAGAACACATCCTCACTGACTGCGTGAAACACATAGAATTCTAGGACACACATCCATGTCCTCATACCTGTGCTTTCTTTTCACAGAGCGTATACACGGTTTCCAGGTTTGGGTCGTTGTGAAGGGGGTGAGAGTACATGCGGTGCTCGAACGCCTCCACTTTCTGGATGACCTTCTTCAGGCCCTGGTCTTGAATGCCCATGTCATCGATCGGGTCCAATAAGGGAACACCATCGGGAAACCGTTTTTGAACTTCCTGAAACAAACATTTGAAATTAATTTTTATTTATCGACAAAATTAGTTAAATCAGTATTTTCTTTTATGCTTTTCTATGTGCAAACATAAGAAGGCTGCTACATATATACAGCTTGGAATTTCCCAAATCACTTATATGTGAGTGCATCTCCCCACTGCCTTTGTTTCTGAAACTCCTTCTGAGTATTTTCTGATGCAGGGGCACACTGTACTCAACGAGTAGCCTAGCTCAGAGAGTTCAATGTCTGCATGTGGCACAGCCCAATGGTAAGCCATTCTCTGACATCTGGGTTGTGAAAACATCTTGCCATCATAAACAACCGTGTACTAAACATCTCTTAAGTATATAAATTGTTTTCAATTTTCTGATTAATTCCTTGGGGCTGATACCTAGGGAGGGCACAACTGAGTCAAAAGATGTAAATTTTAAAAGGGTCCAGATCCCTCTTGCTAATTTTTTTTACACGACTGAACTGTGAACATGATGAGCATGTGAGTTTCGAGAAGGGATGGTTCACAGCAGACTAGCGCCCCCTGGGGGACTTCAGGTCTAAGACAGACTTCAAAGATGAGATAGGATTTGGCCAGGTAGGAATTAAAATAAACAAACAATAAATAGATCAATACATACATAGATACAGCTTAAAAAGGTCTAGTGAAAGTAGCCTGTTCCTTTATCTTTGCTGTCTCAGATTCTAGTATATAATCTCCCATGAGCAGTAGATGCTAATTTAAATGTTTACTGACTAAATAACAAAGTTCCTTTTTTTTTAGTAGAAAATAAAGTTTTCTACAAGTCCTAATTTTTTGTTGAAAATGAAATGATTTCAACCATTTGTTGGCCACACTGAACATGGCTACGCCCTGGCCCAGGACTGACACTCATGCCCTCCAGTGACTCACGAGCTGGTGCAGAGAGGACAGGGGCGGCTTGGCAGCCACCACTGTGACAGAACCACCTCTCCTGGGGGTGGTCACAGCTCTTCTGAAAGGAGGCATTTCGGCTGCCTCACCATGGAGCCTCAGTAGGTGTGCAGGAAACTTGCATTTCATTTATAAAGTCAATGTGTACCTGTATCGACTTTAGAACACTCTGTCTGTTGTCCAGGGGTCGAAGGTCTTTGGGAATGTAGAGCCTAACACTGCTGATAGCAGACAGGAGATGCACCAAGACTGGAACAACCTACCAACAGAAAAGTTATGAAATGTTGCAATTAAAATCACACATTGTCAGATTCTACCATTTCCTAAATTTAGTTTACATCCCTAAAAGGAAGCTGCATTTACAATATATGACAGTATAAGTAGGAAATGATCACTGCGGAAGCTCTTATCTTAGTAGAGACTGTATTTTAAAAGCAAAAACTAATTCAAACCTCTAAACAACAGGCCTATAAATGGTACACAAAAGTGACCGCTCAATATATAATCCATACGTATTCATCTGTGCATCCTCACGTCTGGCACTCAGAATCCTCAAGGTACCACACAGAGCACTACAGAGGGAGGAGGCTCCTTAGGGTTAAAGGCCAAGGAAGGGCCCCGTCAGCGCTGGGTGGGCTGCAAGGAAGGAGAGCAGTACTCCAAACAGAGAAAGCGCTGTGCTCCACTAGACGTAGCGTCAAGGTCACCTCTCTTTACCTTTCGGCCAGGCTTTCTCCAGGCAAGAACCCTTCCCTCACCATTTGGCTCCCGTTCAGTTCGGAGGCCTCTCTGAACTGAGGTCCAAATTCATCTGGGTCTCCTATGGCTACCTTCACGTAATCAGTGACAAACAACCGTCCCTGGCTGCTGGTGATAAAGATCTTGTTTTACTGAACAAATGAAGAGTGGTTAAGCGAGGGTTTGAGTCCAGAGAATCCGGGCTTGAATTCTGTCTGCAGCTAGTGGTGTGACCTTGAGCAAGTCACCTAACCTGAGCTTCAGTTTCCACATTTTAGAAATTATTACTTTGCCCTTTACAATTACTAAGAAATGCGTGGAGAGATTCACTTTGTAAATACCCCATTCCTTGTTAAGCTTTCAACTCCTTAGTTTTAGTACCCGTGTATTATTCTTATCTGAGTCGATTATTATCTGTGGTAGTTGTCTAATGCTGACTTTTTAGCATCATCATCTATTCATCTCACATGAACCTGTAGATTCTTGTTTTATTTTTATTTGATTATAATCCTTTACTATCATTTTATTCTCAAACTGTCACATTTTTTAAAGAAGACACTGTGTGGGCTGAATGTGCCTTCCAGCCGCCCATGTGCAACCTCGCCAATCCCAGGTGGGCCGACTGCTGGAGAGAAGGCTCAGGACGTGAGAACCACCCCTGGCACCAGGCAGTCCGCACCCGCGGGAGAGGACAGCTCTCCCGCACTGAGCTCCAGGCGCACATGCCCCACACGCAGGAAAACAGCTCCCTCGCTCTACCCGCAGCTGCATTCAGTACGCACACGGACTTGAGAATCTCCTTGAAACAGAATAAAGATTATTCTGTAAAAACAGGAACCAGAAGGAAGAAAGAAACTGTCCAATCCTAATGCTGCTTGAGTACAGACAGAGAGATCCTAAGACTGAAGTTTGTAAATAAGAAGTTAAATGCTCAAAAACCAACTGAATAGCTCCCACAGTATTATAAATCTCTACACTCGAAGTGATTTAAAACCATATCATAGTATGTGCATAGCGCAGTTCATTCAACTTTCTAAACCTAATACCCTTTACAGAGTAACTTAGAATTCAGGTTTATCATGGTGCAGCAGTGATCTATATAAATCCAAACAACCACATAGGCAGTTATTGGAAACTTGTTAGAATACCAATAGTAGAAAGCATTTTTATTCTTGGGCCTTTTTAATCTTTGCAAATTTGCCATTTATCTATTTTAAGATAAGCACATAATAAGATAATATCAGAAGTCAGTAAGTTTTAAGTCAATACATTCTAAATGAATTTCAATTCTTCAAATCAAGACTATTAGCTAGAACACAATTTCTAAATTCTTTATTCAAGAAAGACCTTTTTGAACCAACTGAATTTTAATCGAGTCAAAACAAACTTATTTAAACGAACGTAGTCTTCATTAACTTTTGTATTTTAAAACATTGAATCAGTGCCTTGATCTAGTTTTCTCTCCAGAATGTGGAAGGTTAACCAAAGGCTTACAGCAACCCAAGTAGCATGTAGCAAAAACAAATGGCTGGCTTTGGGTCCGAGCGGAGCTTTGTGGTATTTTAATGTACCCCACCTGGTCCCCAGGAGCCTTGGGGACCGACAGCTGCAATCACAGTGAAAACCGCTGGCAGGCACGGGAAGGCAGGAGCAGAGCGGTGTGCTTCCGAGCTCCGCCCCCAGAGGACTGGCACTACCTCAGCCGTTGGGTGGCTCCAGGAGACTCCACTGACAGGGCTGTCTTATCTGACCTGACTCAGTACCCCAGAGCCAACAACGCTTTCCCTGAGGCCTTTGTTGAAAACAGTAAGAGTCCACTGTGAACATCATGGCTTCCCAAGACAATGATTAACAATGAGATCAAGCAATACGGTAAACAAACAGCCTAAAAGAAAGCTGGGGAGCAAACTGTCCACAGGGGGAGCTGAAAGGTTCTGACACATCCCTGGGCACCTAGGCGGCCACAGGCACCTGGCCTAGCAGTTACCGCCGGCTGACCCTAAGACGGCGCACACAGGAAGTGAGGTCAGGCAGCGCTGCCCACTCGCTGGCTGAGACCTGCAGGTGTGCTGCAATGTGCACGCAGGGCCTCTATCAGAGACTGTGCACGTAGCGGATCCCAGGCCTTAAGGAAGTCTCTAGTTATTAGCTGACCGATTAAGCTAACCAAGCAGAGATGTCAGTGGCCATGCACAACATACAACTAATTCAGAAAAGTCTACCCAACAAACAACAATTGGCAACAAGAATAAACTCAGGGCGGAAGAGAAGAGGGGAATCTATTGCCATTTTTCAAATGTGCAGTTTCAGCAAAAAAATTACAAGACATGTAAAGAAACAATGAAGTATGTCCACGCACCAGGAAAATAGCAGTCAATAGAAACCGTGCCTGAGGAAGGGCAGACATTAGACTTCCTACTTTAAATCACCTGTTTCAAAAATGCTCAAAATTCATCACAAAAAAAAACCTGATTTTAATGTGTAATAGTACACTTTTGATGCAAGTGATAAAACTGTTAGATTGACTCCATCACAACTATTACAGGGTATCTTGCTTCTTAAGCAGCTGTCATGCCGAGAGAGAGAGAGAGAGAGAGAGAGAGAGAGAGAGAGAGAGAGAGAGAGAGGGAGATCTGTAAGATCTATAGGAGAGAATGGCAGGAACTCGAAGAGTCCACTGTGGTCTGTGATGTCTATTCCACGTCCCTTACGGATATTTTTACCTCATGCGGAAGGACTCTGGGAGTGCTCTGCCTAGAGAACACGAAGCAGAAACCACTTGTCTGGCCCTCACAGTTATTATGGTCTTCATTTCCTGACCCTGAGTCTGTTTCGACTGTGATGGAGCAGCTGGGACAAGTGGCAGTGGGAGGTGCACCTGCAGCTGGCAAAGCCACCAGGACAGAGCTGCAGGAACTACTGCCTGCAGTGTCCACCTCTACCAGGAATGTAATAAATAGCATGGATAAGTAAAACTGCATAATTATTTGATGGTAAAAATATAGTAAGACTTCTTTATAGCTAAGGTAAAATCCAACTTTTAAGAAAATTGAAAATTTTAAATTCTTTTTATCTTTTACTTTGTCAGTATTAACCTTGACATAATTTGATAAAAGAAGAGCTTAAATCTCATTACTCTTTTTACTGATATTTAGATAGTTTCAGGAAATCTAGTGATTACAGTAATTCACAGGGTCTCTGTACCCCAAGATGAAAGCTAAGCACACACCTGCATCTCCCCCTTCTCCTCGGGCTTGGCCGGCTTTGCAGCCTCCGTAGCGGAGTTTTTCAAGCTTTCTCGGCTGCAGCGCAGAAGCACTTCCACCACATACAGCGGGTCGAGCTCCCCGGAGTTGGGCTGGAAGAGCAGAGAAGGTCATTCACTCTGAGACACTGCCCCGCCCGCGTCCAGGGACGGTGTTCTTGGCACTGATGAGCTCAGAGGAGAAATATAAATTATCATGAAATTAAAATCCGTTGTTGTTGTTGTTAGCAAAATAACCCATGCCATTTTAAGCATGACATTTAAGATTATTCAAAAAATTATTTCCTATGGCAGTATTTATTACATCTTCTCTTAAGATAATCCTTTCTCATCTTTGATCAATTTCGTGAGTCTGAAAAAAACATTTCATTAACAATTTATATAAAATTCTATTTTAAGAACAAATAGTTTACCTTAACATTTGACTTTTTGGAGAAATTCACGACTACTCCCCAGCCAAAATCGTCTCCTTCATTCTTTACCTAAAAAGAAAGTAAAGCACATAAACAAGGACATGTGTGTCCAAAAGGCAATTTTAACCCATACCCACATTACAGGCTAACAAAACTGAGTCTTCCTGATGAAGTATTGTTTGAGAGGTCACTGTTAAACTTATGGAAAAAGATATTAACTCTACAGAAAAAAAATCACTGCCTATTCCATAAGTCTCTGGAACATCAATGACAAGAATCTCTCAATGTCAACAAATGATAACATGGTGTATTTGTTCTGAGAAATCTAAAGTCTTTCATGTTTAAGAGTCTCATGCTCTACCGACTGAGCTAGCCGGGCGCAGTAAGTCTTTCATGTTTTATAAACAATGAATTCATCCTACATAAACCTGCCTTTATTTTTTAGACTAGTGGCCCAGTGCACGAAATTCATGCACAGTGTGTGTGTGTGTGTCCCCCTCAGCCCAGCCTGCCCCTTCTCCAATCTGGGACCCCTCAGGAGAAGTCCGACTAAACCAGCAGTCGGACATCCCTTTCGCAACCTGGGACCACTTGCCCCTAACTGCTCACCTATCTGCCTGCCTGATCACCACTAACCACTCTGCCTGCCGGCCTGCTCGCTCCCTACTGCCCCTCCTGCCAGCCTGCTCGTCCCCAACTACCCACCCCCACCAGTCTGCTCACCCCCAACTGCCCCTTTCCCCCCCACCGGCCTGATTACCCCCAACTGCCTCTGCCTTGGCCCCGCCACCATGGCTTTGTCCGGAAGGTCTCCTGGTCTAATTAGCATATTACCCTTTTATTAGTATAGATTTTATAATTGGAACACTGTCTACCTCAATTTATATCCTCTAAAAATCTGATTAATGACCCCCCCTTAAGCAGAGCCATGTGAAACCAATAAAACCATATAATTACTGTAGATCAACTGCTGCAGGAGAAAGCATTTTATCAATATAAAGAAATAGAAGAGCTATTCGAAAATTATCCAATATTAAAATATCTAAATATTTTTTAAAAATTAACATACCTTTACCAAACGACCTGGTTGTAGAAATGGTAAGCAATATTTTGGTTTGTGAATATATTCTTCAATTTCTTTACCCAGCTTGGCAAGCTGCTGCCTGATCTTGTAATAGATGACCACGCTTTCTTCATTGGGTATCACTATTTTATTATATTGTTCTTCTGAGTTCCGCACCTCTGTAAATAAACGCATGTACCATGTAGAAACTGCACACCCACAGTGTATGCCACCACCCCACCCTCTAGCTCACCTACTGCAAGAGGAAACCCACCCCATCCAGCACACGCCTCATCCCTCCTCCCCAGCCCCGGGGCCTTTCTGTCTGCTCTCCATCTGCATGGATTCCCCTGTTCTGGACAGTTCGTACTTATTACATCAAACAACATGCAGCCCAATGTCGTCTATGCTGGGGCCTGTCGTGGTGCTGTCTTTCTTGGCTGAGTAATATTCCAGTACATGGGGGACCATTTACTCATCCTCTTACCAGCTGATGAACATTTAGATTATTTCTACCTTTTGGCTGTAAAGAGTGCTGCTATAAACATTTACGCAGACAAACATGCATTCGTTGGAACAAACTTCCCATTCTTTAGGTTACGTACCAGGAGTGAAATTGTTGGGTCTTATGGTAATTCTACCATTAAATTTGCTAAGGAAGTGCTACACTATTTCCCACACAACCCCACCATTGTGGTAACTACCTTTTTAAAAACAATCCTAAGGAGGGTGAGGTGGTATCTGTGTGGTTACCATATGCATTTCCCTAATAACTCATGATGTAGAGCATCTTTTCACGTTTGTGGGAAACTACTTATCTTCTTTAGAGAAATGTCCATCCAAACCCTTTGCCCATTTAAATTACACTTTTGTTGTTGAGTTTTAAGAATTCTTTATATATTCCTGATACTCAATCTGTATGTGATTTGGAAATATTTCCTCCCAGTCTGTGGGTTTTCTTTTCACTTTATTGTTGGTGTCTACTGAAGTGTAAGTTTTTCATTTTGATTAAATAAAATTTACTTTCTTTTGCTGATTGTCTTTTTGGTGTATTCTCTAGAAAACAACTACCAAATCCAAGGTTATGAAGATTTATGCCTATGCTTTCTTCTAAGAGTCTTATGGTTTCAGCTCTTATATTTAGGACTGTCATCAATTTCAGTTAATTTTTATGTATGGTGTGAGGTAAGGATCCAACTTCATTCTTTTGCACTTGGCTGTCCTGTTGTCCATGCAGCGTTTGTGAAAAATCAACTGCCCACAGATGCATGGATTTCTGCTTAAACACTGTCCCCACCCTCCACTCCAAATCACGCTGTGCTAATGAGTCAGAAGCCTGAGAGACTGTGAGTCAGCTGTGGTTTGTAACTAGGACTCTAACTAGCTATAGCCCACTCCCAATCAAAGAGCAGAGGGACACAGCATGTGCAGCTGCTTTCCCCACAGTGCACACCCCACCCCAGCACAGCCTCAGCCTCAGCATCAGGAGACAGCAGGGGAGACACAGCCATAAACTCCTCAGACTGTGCAACCAAGTTCTTCCTTCTGAGGAAGGCAGGACACAGTGGTTCCAAAGATGCATTCTTATCAGATTATATGTAAAACATTTAACAGACTTGAGTGATGGCAAAATGGACTGCCACTCTGGTACTGAGCAAATTTTAGAACAGTTCAAGTTTAAATGGCTTTACTGATCTATGGCAATATTATCAATAATTAAACAGGTAGTTCCTGAGCAATTAATGTAAATTATCTCATTGAATTCTCATGAATTGGATGAACTAGATAGTATCTCAATTGCATAAAAGAGCAAACTAAGGTTCAAGTAGTCCCATATATAACTCCACCACCCTTGCCATTGTATTAACTAAGGCATTATCTATGAATGAAACCAAACAAAAAAATTAAGAGTAAGTCTGCATTTTCTTTTCAGTAAATAGACAATACAATCCTGGAAGTTCTACTCTTATGGCTCACTAAGAAATCTATTGTGGACTTAGTAAATGAAAACATCTCATGTATGCCAGCCTTCCCAGTTTCTTATTAAAACAACCAAAACCAAAAAACCACCACTGTGTCTATCTATGTATGTGTGTGTGTGTGTGTATCCTATCTAATAATAGACAAACATGGTAATTAACCATACCTCTGTTATGCTTCCCATTGGCTAATCAGGAGGATATGCAAATTAACAGCCAACAAAGATGGCGGCCGGCAGCCACGCAGCTGAAGCGAACAGGAGGCTTGCTTGCTCTAGTGATGGAGGAAGCCAAGGTTCCCTGCCTGCTGCGGCCCAGCTCTGGGCTCCAGATGCAACAATGTTGCAATTATAGAAGCTAAACAAACCCCAGGTACCTGCTTTCAGCCACCAGCAGGCTCAGAGCTTAGAGCGCCAGTGATGGCAACAGAGTTTCAATTATAGAAGCTAAACAAACCCAGATACCTGCTTTCAGCCAGCCGCGGCCTCAGAGCTGGAGCCAGCTCTCAGCTCCAGTGACAGCTATAGAAGGTAAATAAATCCCAGAATAAAAAAAAAGAAAGAAAGAAAAAAGAGGCTGGGAGCTTCAGTCACCCACCAGCCTGAAAACGGCTCTCGACCCCTCACCCAGTCTGGCTGAGGTGGGGACTGGTGGTCAGTGCACTCCCAGAGGGGGAGCTCTGCTCAGCCACAAGCCAGGCTGATGGCTGCCAGTACAGCAGTGGTGGTGGGAGCCTCTCCTGCCTCCTCAGCAGCGGTAAGGATGTCCAATTGCAGCTTCGGCCTGCTCCCCGCTGGCAAGTGGACATCCCCTAAGGGCTCCCGGGCTGCCAGAGGGGTGTCTGATTGCCAGCTTAGGCCCAATCCCCCCCCGGGGAGCAGGCCTAAGCCAGCAAGTGGTCACCCCTGAGGGTTCCCAGACTGCGAGAGCACAGGCCGGGCTGAGGAACTCCCTACCCCCGAGTGCACAAATTTTTGTGCACCAGGCCTCTAGTGTGTATGTATGTGTATATATATATATATTTAAAAAAGAACTAATATGCAAATGAGGTGGGGACTCTGTAATGGTCACAATCAGCTCAGCAGGAGGGGCCAGGCACGGCCCCAAGCCTGAGAGAACAACACGCAGGCACGGCCTGGAGCCTGAGATCAACACAGAGGGGCACCTGCTCTGAACCTCTGTGGTGCGGCTGTGGGGAGGGCCCCAGTGGACATACACACACTCACACACAGGGCGCCTGCTCTGAGCCTCTGCGGCGCGGCTGGGGACAGGTCCCCAGTGGGGACACACACACACACACACACACGCACACGGCACCTGCTCCCGGCCTCTGCGGCCCAACTGCGGCTTAGGCCTGTTCCCCACAGGGAGCTGTCCTAAGCTGTCAGGACATCCCCTGAGGGCTCCTGGACCGTGAGAGGGGTAGGCTGGGCTGAGGGCCTCCCCGCCCCACCCCCGCCCAGCGCACGAATTTTGTGCACTAGGCCTCTAGTTTCTAAAATAAAGGTGAATTCCAACAGTCTATATCCTGGCTGTGCTATGTTTAAGGTTCCAGCAGCATCAACAGCAAAAAGGAGCTACACCTTCCTGGTAACAAGGGGCCAACTGCACCAAACTGCTCTGCAGTGAAGCAGCAGCACAGAGCTCCCCTGCCCCATATCCTGCTCCCTGTTCACTCCAGGCAGCCTGAAAACTGCACTGAAGGTGCTGCAATTCCCTCATCAATTCCCTCTCCTGTCTCATCCCCTAAACTACTTCCTCCACTAAAAAGCCCATTATACTTTGGATACTCAGTCTTTTGTTTATTGGTTTCAAAGTGTTAGAATAACAAGACTTGCTCCTTTAACACAAGAGGGAAATGCAGGGATAATTCAACTGAGAAGCGGCACAGGAGCAACACTAGTCAGAGCCACACTGGAAACAGGTGCTCCCTTCGCATGGGGCTTGGGGAGACAGACAGCAGATGGAGAAGTGGTGGCAATGTTTAAGTTCACAGAACGGGTAGCAGACTCTTGGTCTAGTCATGACCAACAATCTGAGCCCAGCTAGAAGTTATGCTAGATTGTAATCATTTCCTCTTTCCTTAATTTCCAAAGCCTTCATTAAGACCTACATTTGAATCAGCCACAGGGAAGTGTCCTGACAGGGTTTTCTTCCTTCCCTGTGAAACGTCTGGTCGGCGATGAGGACTGCCTGCAGTTATGACCCTTCTGCATGACAGGACCCAGACCTGGCTCACAGAAAGCCCCAGGGCCAAGCAGCAGCCAGGCGGCGCGGTTGTACTTACTCTCCACCACCCCGGGAATGGCTCTGTAATGCTGAAACTGGTAGAAGGACTTCTCCAGCATGTACTCGGGGTTGATTTCTTCCACACGCAGCAGGTTCAGAACCATGTTGTAGGTTAAATGGAAAGCGCTATTCAGGGGGTCGGCTGAGCCCTGAGAGGAGTGAACATGTCACTAGTTTAGGTTATTCAAGTAAACTCACACCAATAGTTTTCACCTGGTAGGTTGCTTCATAATTTAACTCTATGTGAAGGCACGCTACAGAAGTGTATTACGTTTTCCTGGAAAGCGTTTCAGCCCAGCAAGATGAGCAAGCTCTAGAGCCCTGCTGTATAACACAGCACCTGTAGTCAACAACGTGTTGTGAAGAGGGTGAATCTCATGTTCTGTTCCTTCCACGATAAAATTTAAAAATAAAATAAAAATTTTAATGAGCTCTGACCAGGTGGCTCAATTGGTTGGAGCATCATCCCACACACAAAAAGGTTGCAGGTTCGATTCCCAGACAGGGTACCTACCTAGGTTGCAGGCTCAATCCCCAGTCAAGGTGCATACAGGAGGCAACCGATCAATGTTTCTCTCACATCAGTGTTTCTTTCTCAAAAAAAATCAATAAAAACATATTCTCAGGTGAGGATTAAAAAAGCAATAAAATCTAATATACTGACCTATGTATGTCTTAACGTATTTTGAAGCTTAAATTTGGTTTTTAAATTACAGTTTACATTCAATATTATTTTATACTAGAGGCCTGGTGCACAAAGTTCGTGCAGGGGTAGAGTCCCTAGGCCTGGCAGGTGATCAGGGCCTTCCTTCCCCGGGCTGGGGCCTTCCTTCATTCCACACCGCCCCCTGGTGTTCAGCACACGTCATAGCGAGTGGTCGAACTCCCGAGGGGACAATTTGCATATTAGCCTTTTATCATATAGTTTCAGGTGTACAGCATAGTGGTTAGACAATCACATTACTTTAGTTAAAAAGTGGTCCCCCTGAAATTTCAAGTACCCACCTGGCCCCATTCACAGTTATCACAATATTACTGACTATATTCTCCACGCTGTCCTTTCCATCCCTGTGACCATTCTATAGCTACCAATCTGCACTTCCCAACCCCTTCGTTTGTTTCACCTTTAGTTTAAATAGCTCATGAGCTGGCAGTTAATTTTGTATTTTTAATTAATGGTAAGTTTCCTATCTTATCAATAGTTTGCTCTAGGATTTAAGAATGTGGAGGAGGACAAGGAAAGCAACCAGGTTGAACTTCCTTGAGAAGCTCTTCAAAACAAAACATCTTAAACAATCTAAAACACAAATACTACACAAGCAAAATGAACAGGATCATCTGTAATAAAGCTTAAAATTTTTAAATTAGTTTTTGAGTATTTATAATCTATCAACAGGCTAAAACAGGATGGTAGATTGTAGAATTAATTTATTCAGCTACCTGGGCTTGCAAAGGTAGAGGCAGGTAACTGCCCAAACCCTGACATCATGGGCCTCACTTCCTGTTCGGGTAGGGAGAGCAACTCCTGCAATGGAGGGAGATATCAAGGTCACCTTAAATTTGAAGGGAAAGTGAGTGCTTTCACCCTCACTGAGGATCATCACATCCCTCCACTCCATGAGCCGCTCGTTACCGATTAGAACAGAAAGTAGGAGACGAAATACCAGCACTTGGAGCACTTCCCTCTGCTCCCTCCCCCAGCCCAGGCAGTTTTGTAAATCAATTCATCTCCTTAGAAAGATGTCTGAACTGACAAAACTAATTTCATGCAGATGCAGAATCTTAACTGTTACCTTAAGCAGTTGCTTCCCAATAGTTGGGCTCATCTTTTCGTCAACCATAAGAATCACGATTCCTCTGTCATCCATGCCCCTCCTTCCGGCACGACCAGACATCTGAATGTATTCACCAGAAGAAATCTGAACAGACATAAGAAAAGTTCTAAGTTTAGGAGAGAACCTGATAAAAAACAGTCTTGCTTTTTTTTTTCTTATAAAATAGACAAGTACAAGTTACATAGTCCAAAAAACCCCCCAAAACCCATGATTAAAAACATGAACTTTTCAGAGAGTATAAATGAAAACACAAAACTGCAAAGCACTTAAGAGTAACATTTAAATTTTAGCTCCAAAATGATCAAATCCATACCTACCGGGAAATATCAGCTAATTCACTAGCATAAAAAAATCTTTAAGTTAGATATTCTGAAAAACAGCAGTCTAAAAAAGCAGACAATGACCAAACTACTAAATCCTAACCCAATCATAAATTTTCTTGATGTACATGAGATTAGTATAAAATTAACCTTAGTTTTAAAGAAGCACAATTATTTCCAATTTTCACAGTGTAAGTCCTTGGAGTTAGGTAGAGTCCATTCATCACCAAGAACAACCTAGTGAGAGGGCTAGGTGCTTCAAATACCTTAAAGTGAGGAAATGACAATCTGTGTATTTAAGATGATTTAAAGCATTCCCGAATCATCTGCCCACTTATCCCTCCCAAACTTTTTCACTGAAAGGTTTTGTTTGTTTGTTTGCTTTTTGGCTAAAGGATAGAAATGTAAAGGATCTGAAGCTTAACCTTGATAAGCTTGTTGTACGTATTAGCTCAGGTACAAGTTCAAGAGTATTTAGAACTAAACGTCTCTAAGATTGCAGGAGCCAAAATCACCTTAAGTAAAACAAAGGTAAAAGTTATTTCAATATCGGAATCAACTTTACTTACCCATCGAAAGTCTTTCCCATCAAATTTTCGGGCATTTGTAAATAAAACTGTCCTAGCCGGCATGTTAATTCCCATGGCAAAAGTCTCCGTCGCAAATAACGCCTAATTAAGTGAATAATTATACAATTATTCATCAAGAGGGAAGAGGATAAAAATACTTTATTTCATCAACTCAGCAGAATGCTATTCATCTGTTAAAAAGATGAAGAGCTATGCATGCGACAAAATTAAATAACATGGGTAGTACAATCACTTTTGTTTAAAAAATAAAGCATGTGTTATTTGTATGAGTGCTCATGGAAATGTCTAGGACATGAGGGGAATGATGGCCTTTCATTTTACTTTATGCACGATTGTTCTATTTAAACTTTACAACCAACAAGTATCACTTATGCTTTCTTAAAAGAGACTTTAAAATGGCTCAGAGCCTGAACAAGACCCAGGTATAAATAGTGACCAATTCTTCACTTAAAATACCTCTTGTATGTTCTTTAGGACAGCGGTCGCCAACCTTTTGGACCTCACGCACCACCAGTGGTCCACAAACCTCCAGTTGGCAACCACTGCTTTAGGATGAATAAATTTCTTTCAAATATTCTACATAGCGCTGAAATTCTCATGATAAATTTCTAATCTGATTTTTAAACAAAACAATCTGAGTCATATATAGGCTGATGACTACATTTTAAAGTTGTATTCCATTTTTAACATCCCATTTCTGGGTGTAGATACCAACATAATTTTAAACATTAAATCAGACTGCCTGGTTTAAATCAGAATATAATCTGTAAGTCTACCTGCAGTTCTCCCGTCTTCCCTAGTCTTTTACATTTGTATACAGAAGGGAGTTCACCTGCAGAATCAGCTGCAGGTCTGACAATTCAATAGCACCTTTGACAAAATGCCACGCTGTACCGATCGTGCTAGCATTTCTTACTGAAAATAAACGGTACGAATGACTTTACCTAAACCCAAATTCATGAAGCACACGCATGCCTCCGTTTGAAACTTCACACCTGCCACTTTGCTTTCACAAAAGTCCTACATTAGCAGCTGTTTTGCGAAGCAAAAAAAAACAAAGAGGATTTTTGCTTTTACCAATAAAGGCAAAAGCAGTGTCTGCATGTTTGGCAGCAGCCATTAGAAGCTGGTGCACTGCACGGCGAGGTGCCCTGCAGCTCCTTCCCCAGGAACCACCTCCACATCAGCCGCAGTTCTGAGCTGAGTCTGGGAGCACCTGCGCTTTACCATGACAGACTGTGCACAGGTCAGCAAGACGTGTCCTAAGGAATCAGAAAAGCCCACCAGCCCGTAAGCGTGCTGCGCTTGGTATAAAACTGGGTGCAAGGAAGCATTCCGGTGGCAATGAAATAAAGCGTTCTGGTGGCAATGAGTGTACTGAATCTTGGGTCTGGGAACCCACAGTAATTTTCCATATAAATTAACATAAATGCTTCTTCAAGTTATGCCCTTTCAGCTGATGAAAGGCTTCCTAGCAGCGCCCTACTTCTGGCCAGCAGGGGGCCTGTGTAACTGTATAGGAATCAAGTGCATCCCTCAGCTACACTGTGTTACCCAGTTCAAACAAAAAAACAATATAACCAAACAGTTCACGCAGTAATTCTCGGGCGTAATAAACAAACATGAAATCATACCTTTATCAATCCTTCAGAAAAGAGGATTTCTATCGTTTCTTTCAAAATAGGAAGTAAACCACCGTGGTGGATGCCAATCCCCCGCTTCAAAAGAGGAAGCACATGTTCAACCTGCGATTGGAATAGTTACTTAACAACGTGAGGAAGAGGGAAATTAAAAACCCTAAAGCAACTAATTAAGGAAAACGGGTAATCAAGAAAGAATGCTGTTTAAAGAGACATCACATAAGCGTTACAGAATAAAAGCAGAAACTAAACCTGTATCCCCTGACCAAACCCAAAACATAAGCAACTCTATCAGGCTTCCTGTATGAAAACAGCTTATGAAAAAGTCTGAGAGGCATGTTTTAAATAAACTTTATAAATGCTTTGCTGCCTCATTCAAATGTGCAGCATCACTTTATCTCCTCCAAAAAATTAAAGTTTATGAGGAAAAAGTTAGTGTCTGCACAAAATAAACTTAAATACTGGCCAACTCAGACCAAAAAGAATTAAGGAGGGAGCATTATCTCAATCCGTTGAGGTTCTGCTTCCTGGCAATTGTCGACAGTCTGGCTCAAATAAACTCACAAAATTCTTTAAAAAAAAGAATTAAGTAACTGTAACACGTTTAGCATAATATATGTACTTCCTCTAAAAGGAAGTGAGGTGCCGAAGAGGTCATTCTTATCAACACTATACCAAGGCCATTTAAGGTCCACTATTTAATAAGTGTGCTAGGGTTACAAAATACATAAAGACATGGCTCATCCCTTCTCTACTAACCATTCAGCTGGGAAGAAAAACTACAAAAAAAAAGTATAAGTTAAATATTCTTTTAAATAGCAATACATTGGCCTGGCCAGGTAGCTCAGTTGGTTAGAGCATCATCCCGATATGCCAAGGTTACGGGTTTGATCCCTGGTCAGAGCACATATAAGGATCAACCAATGAATGCGTAAATAAGTGGAACAAATCAATGTTTCTGTTTGTCTCTCTAATATACACCAATATGCTTTTGTAGTCTTATAAACCCATGTAAGTGAAAGCACCCATTCGTAAGCAGAGGATGACCTCCCAGCTTCTCACAGTCTTTGAAAGGTTAGGTTGGACAGAGTAGCTCAGATTAGATGCACATTAGACTCTCTCAGGAGCTGCCACAGCATTACATATCTGAAGACTTATACCTGGCATGTTAGGAACAAGCAGCAGCTCAGACCATGAGCACGTTCAGAAAAGGCAGTACGTCTTTCCTCTCCCCACCTTTTCAGGAGCTTAAAATAAGTCAAGACACCATTTCAGTGCATGACACAAGGTATCCCCTGCAGGGGGCAAACGTTACAATACAGCAACACAACTAAGAACTGAAGAGTGAACTCATGCCACCTACTCATAGCCATACTCACTGCTATCAAACACAAACCTGAGGGAGCTTTTTATCTTCATCCGACAAGCAGTCAATCGCATTACTGAATACTTCTTCCACCATCTTCTTTTCTTCATCTAAGAGAGAACACCCAGAGGCACATGAGTATCTCAATGAGTCAGTGATACCTCACTTCAAACACGCAGAGAGCAAGAGTCTATAAAGAGTAAAAACAGTACTTTAGATTGTCAGCAGGGAAAGTAGATTAAAATGACTGTAATTTTTAATAAAGTTCACTACCTTTTCAAATCATACATAACAGACCTAATCTGTGAATAAAAGCACTACCATATAAAAATAGTGGCTAACTGTGCTAACTGCTCTGCATACGGGGTTCAAGTCCAAAAATCACAGGTCGCGGGCTCTCGCTATCCACCACTGAGGAAGTTAGAGCGAACCATGGCTGCTGCTCTTAGCTGTTAGAGCAGCTACTCAAAGCCTCTGCACTTACCCACTACACTGCCTGCTTGTGCAGTCTGTTACATAGCAGGTAGTCAGTAAGTACTGGGTGAACTAATCAATATTAACACTGCAACACTGAGTAGACTCAGCACTCGTAGTTATAAGAAAACGTCTCAGCAGAGCAATTCACTCAGTCAAAACAAGAAATACAGTAAATTCTCATGTTGAGTCGAGAGGTCCTAAGTGAAATGATGTCTAATGAGACCAATTTTACCACAGGCTAACTGACATAAGCAAGACAAGTTCCTCCAGCATCTCACTGACATTATAACAAAAAGATGTTGAATAAAACGTTACTGGAGGACCTGCTGTATTGGCTTCAAGAGTTAGTTATCTCTCCTTCGTTACTTTGGCCCATGGACAAGTAAAAACTAGCTTTAATGTGGGTGGGTTTATTTCTGTCTTGGAAACAACACACCTGCAATTCAATGTTGGATGAGTGAAGAACTTCTCACGGTACAGGAGTACGTAAGTAAAGGCAGAACTGAATTACAACTGGGCTGGTTTTCAGCACACCACCGTTTGGCGAGGTTGTGCTACTACCTAGCTATGTGACTTCAAGTGAGTTCCACGCACAGTTAATGTATGAGAAGAACATGAACTCGCTAGAAGTACTCCTACTTTACTCAAGGGTTACTAGGTCAGGTAGCTCCGCGTGGGAGTTCTGGAAGGATGGAGCCCAGGGCCTTCCACAGGAGGAGGCCTGGCGAGAACACCGCGCCGTCGGACCGAGGCCAGAGGCCGCGCTGCCTGGAGCTGTGCAGGACGCAGAGGCACAGGCTACGCTCCGCAGCAGGACCTTGGGATCGCACAGAGCAACGCACTTACACCGCCCACCAAAGAAGACAGAGGAGGAGAGACGTGCTCAATCCCCTCCTACCGCCTCTGCGATTGTGCTGAGCACCTGCGCCACGTGCAGCATGCAGTGCCTTGGCAGGGGTGTGTTTGCATGCCTTTCACTAACACTAAAACCCCGCGGACATCGCACAGTACCTGTGTTGAAATCTAATTTGGTCATTTGAAGTGCATAGGCTTCACAATCTTTCTTACTGAAACTGAAAATAATTACAGGTTGAAAATTTCTTTCCATAATCATCTTCACAATCTTGAACACATTTGATGGTCCTGCAAAAAGAGTATATAAAACCAAATCCAAAAATTAACTCAAGATGGATCATAGACCCAAACATAAGAACGAACACTATAAAACTCTTTAAAAACATATAGGAGTAGCCTGGCCCATGACTAAGCAGTTGAAAGTCGACCCAGGAACCAAGAGATCAGGGGTTCAATTCCTGGTTAGGGGCGCATGCCCGGGTTGCGGGCTTGATCCTCAGTAGGGGACGTACAGGAGGCAGCTGATTAAGGTTTTCCTCTCATCAATGTCTCTGTCTCTCTATCCTTTTCCCTTCCTCTCTCTCAAAATCAATAAAAATGTATTTTAAAAAAACATATAGGAGTGAATCATCATAATTTGGGGTTATGCAAGGCATTCTTGGATATACCAAAAGTACAAGCAACGAAAGAAAATAACAGATAAGTGGATTTCATCAAAATTAATAATTTTATACTTTACAGACACCAACAATAAAGTGAAAAGACAACCCTTGCCCAAAGAAAGCGAGAAAATATTTGCAAATCATCTATCTGAACATATAAAGAATTCTTACAATTCAACAACAAAAGGACAATATAATTTTAAAATGGGTAAAGAATTTGAATAGATATTTCTCCAAAGAAGATATACATGTGGCCAATGAGCACATGGAAACATACTCAGCACCACTGGCTACAACGGAAGTGTGAGTCAGATACCACCGCACACCACTAGGACGACTCTAATCCAATAGACCTGAGGAGCGGCAAGCTTGTAGAAGACGTGGAGACCCGACACCCTTCAGACGGGAATGGAAACGGTGCGGCCACTTTGGAAAATAATCTGAGCCACTCACCAGTAAACAAAGAATTACCATGACTCAGCTAGTCCCTCCCTGGGTGTGTACACGAGAAGAACACGTTCGTACAAAAACGAAGAACACACGTGATTATAGCAGCTCATTTACAAGAACCAAATAGCGGAAAGAGCTCTGGCCAGAAGCTCAGTTGGTGAGAGCAGCATCCGGATATGCCAGGGCTGTGAGTTTGATCTCCGGTCAGGGCACATACAAGAAGCAACCAATGAATGCATCAATAAGTGGGACAACAAATCTCACTCTCTCTCTACCGCCCCACTCCCTCCCTCCTTTCCTCTCTTCCTCTCTCTCCCCCTCCAACCCCCTCTCTTAAAAAAAAAATTTTTTTTTAAGTGGAAACAACCCAAGTACCATCAACTTATCAATGGATAACAATGGAATGTTATTTGAATATAAAAAGGAATGAAGTATTGACACATGCTATAACATAGATGAACCTTGAAAACATAAGTGAAAGCAGCCAACTACAAAACACCACAGATATGAAACGTCCAAGAAAAAAAATTACCAAAGGATGAGGGAGGGGAAAGAGGTTGAGGGGAAATGAGAAAGGACTGCCAATGGGTATGGAGTTTCTTTCTGAGCTGATGGACATGTTCTGGAACATTTTAAGTGTATAACTTTGTGAATATAATGAAATCCAACTGAACTGTACACTTAAAAATGGTGACAATTGTGGCAGGTGAATTACATTTCAATAAAAAAATGCCATGACGGTTGCATAACTCTATACTAATAACCACTGAATCTGGACAATTGAATGGGTGAATTGTACAGTATGTGAATTATATTTCCATAAAGGACATGTAGAAAAAGAAACCGACCTTTACCCATTCACTTTCATCATGTTATCAGAACTGCATAGCTTCCTGAGGAAAATCATTCAATAAAAAGTTTTAAATGTCATTTGAAACTACAACTTACAGGTAAGATTATCTCAAAACAATGTTCAAAATTACCTTTTGTCCCTCCTTTTCGACCCTTCTGATCTCCTTTTGCCAGATCCCCTGCCTCGCGGAGAACTTGCATTGCGGTGTTGAAGTTATCTTCTCGGAAGTCACCCTGGAATCAGATGTTTTTCTATGTTTCTTCACTAACATTCAATCATAATCTAAACATCTTTCACACTCAAAGCAAAGCTTCCTCAAATAAAAATAACTTAGTAATTAATAGTTATAACAAAGGCCATGAGAATAGTTCAAAATGTGAGCTGAGAGGTAATAAAAGGTAATAGAGGTATTAAAACTGGGAGAGGCAAACGTAAGATATTGGAAACATGCCTAGCGTCCCTATTCTCCAAGCAGTTTAAACGCTGGAGAAGGAGGGAGATGCAATTACGCACAAGAGAAACACAAGTCTTAAATAACATGTTGGAGAGCACACACACAGAGCACGCAAAGCCAACAATAACTTCGGACTGTGAAACTATTTAAGGAAAAAAGGGTCTCCACAATTCTTCTCTAGAAGAATTACAGACACAAAAGTGACCGTCACCCCTTACATTTTCATCAACCACAAGGTGCAGGCCATCTCCCCCCGCCGGGAAGATGTAGTGCTGCAGTGGAGTAGGCCGGTAATCTGTGTAAATTACATGGCAAGGCTGCAAAGAGAAGGAAACACAATTACACACAATACTTTATTTCTTCAGTAATAACACTATGTATCTGACCTTACAGACATGAACATGTCAAAAAGAAAAAAAAAATTATAAATATCACTTTAAAACCAGGCAAGAGGAAAATGTGGAAAAATTAGATCAAATTATACAACCATCTGTTCAATTTTACTCATTTCCTACTCAAGGCCAAATACCCGATTTCAGCTTCAACAATGACCTTGGATCGGCACCTGGACCCATGCTGCCAGCATCACCGACACTTGTTCCCGGAGAGCAGGCTGTGGTCCCACTGAGTGCTCCCGAGGTGTCCTGGGGCCTTTCTGCCCACCCCCACCCCCCCGCCCGGGGAGCCCTGGCAGCCTCAGCAGAGCAGCAGGCTGACAGAGCTCCGCTGAACACCCCTGGGTTTCTATCCTACAGAAGCGACATGAGTGCCGCAAAATGACCGATTTTAAGGAAAAATAAGGGCAGGAGAATGAACCCAAGAGCGAGTTTATGACACAGGACAAATGCCTGTTATAAGGTCCTATGCCACTGCTAGTTGGACTAGAAAAGCAAAAGGACCAAGTTGAAAGTCTGACTGTGTGTACAGGAGAGGCAGCACGTGCTCTGGACACGCCCAGCCTTCTCCTGGCACCAAGGTCATGGAGGAAGTTGTGCCCCCTGGCTCACTGTACGACAAAATGCCAGTATTTCCGAATCTGCAGATCATAAGGATCAACCTGGGAGCTTGTGAAGGCGGAGCTTTCAAGACCCTACTCCCATTGACTGGCATACTGGTTCCGAGATGGGATTCAGGAATGCACACTTATAAAAAGCTAAGTCAGTTCGTTTTGAATAAGCTTGCTTGATTTGAGCAGTTTCTTTATTTGGGTGGCATTAAGAACAAAGGACAGGACATAGTTAGGCTGGCTTATAACATCCTAAATATTGAGGACATTAAAAAAAGAAAGTACCTGCTTATGTAAGTGGCAAATCCATTCAGCAAACTGTCGGGCATTTGGAATAGTAGCCGAGAGAAAGACGTAGTGGACATTATCAGGAAGCAAAATGATAGTTTCTTCCCACACCACACCACGCTCTGAAAAAAACAGATATACCCTGCATTTCAGTGTCACTTTACTGACAAGAATCTAAAGCTATCTTCTCCCGAGCTCAAAAAGCAGGAACGCAGGCCACTCTACACAGGATGCTTCTGACCAGATCCTTACTGACAACTGCTTCCGTGTGCACCGTGATTTATCCAGCAGAGAGCAGACCAAACCACGTTACACAAGGATCACTGAAACAGAAGCTGGGAAGGGCAGCTTTAGGCTGCACCTTTTCAAACGGCCCAATGAGATTCCCACAACAGAGGAAATATCATCTCCATCTCACTTTGGGAAGCAAAATTTAATGGCTTGTAGAAAGTTACAGCAACAAATCTCGAAGAACACCATTACCACACCATAGGCACCTTTCATCAAAATGACCCATGATCTCTAGAGATAAAAGACAGATATAATGGACCGCAAACTCTAAGTCAGTTTTTATTAAAACGGAAAAAGCCAGAAAAATCAGTTTGAGAGTTTCCCCCTAAAATAAACAAATCAACACAGCATTCATGATTTTAAAGCCAAAACAACTTTGTTTAGAACGTAAGCCTATGACTTGTATAGGGTAAAATGTTCAAAGGGTACATGATTTCTTCAATTGTTTCATTTTCAATGTAAGTACAGGTCAACCCAGTGCTTTAGATTAACTAATAACCGATGTTAGGTGTGTACATATTAAACATTTAACTTTTAAATGTTTAACATTAACCCTCCCAGTTCCATCCAAAACCAAGTATACTTCATTTTCCAATATAGTAGTGTGACAGTTCAAGAGATATTTGTAATTGTTTCCTTTTAATCATTTTTATTTCATAATCCCAATTTTGTACCATAAACATATATTTCTTAATTTTATTTTAAAAAATGAAAAGAATTTAAAAAATCGAGGAAGAATTTTCTGGCTAGAATTTCTTTAACATTAACTAGAGAGCTCTGTATTTGAAAAGCAAGCTAGTTTGAATTGAATTTCATTTATTTTATTTGAATTTGCATTTTCTTTCTTAGAAAAAGTTACTATTTAAAAAGCTATAGGTAAATGAGATCCCATTGGAAATATTACATTATGTTGTCAAAAAATTTAGTTTACTAGACCTCTAGCCCATGAAACATCAAAGCGATTTTCTTTAGGGTTATCGGTTTACAATGATGGATACACAGGAACAGCCGGATGGAACACACGGGACACGGTGTGTGGGGGGACAGGGCATGGAGTTTTCATGCCTTCCCTCCCCTACTTCCCCATGTTCTCCAACCCAGAAGCTTTTCCAAAGCAAAAGTCTTAGTCCCATTCTTAAGGAAAACACATGGCACACACATCTCAACACCACAGCAGAATATACCTGAATCTCTCATGTAATGAATTTCATCGAATATAACCCAAGCAACCTCGCGCATAACTTCAGAACCTCTGTACAGCATACTTCTCAAAATCTAAAGAAAAAAAATAAAATATTTAGCATAACAAAAAGCTGTTCTTTCTAAAAAGAAATTTTGGAAATTCTTATTTAATGGAAACTAATTTTAGGAAGTTACACACACATATTTTAAATCTATTCCATAAATTATGTAAATTCCTTTTCTCATAAAACCAAAATAAATGACTTTTCAACATCTAGTACTCAGATAGAATACATGAAGAGAATTATAACCACCTCCACCTTGCCATATCCAAATGTGAAGCCCCGTCCTTATGTGGAGTGTGGGAACCATGCCAGAGACCCCAGATAGTCCAGGCCACACAGAGGGCGAAAGGCTTGTTGCTAGTACACCGGATGGCCAAGGCCACTCTGAAAATGGGAATCTTCATCAGAATGTTCAAGACTAAGATACCGTAAGAGCTGCAAGGCCACAGCGATCTTCTGGTACACTGTGCCCTTCTATAGTCCAAATGATGAATGTCATTGCTGACAACTGGCCTTCTCTGTCTGAGGAGTATAATATATGTTATTGACCAGCCAGTGTGCTGGGTAGGGGAGAAAGGAGAGCTGCTGAGCCAGAGAGGCTGGACAGGCTACCGAGGCTGCAGCTCTATGGGAGCACTCGGGTACTACTGCTATGAAAAGCGATCGGTCTAGAGGCAGCGTGAGGCTGCTCAGATAATAGCTGTGGGCACAGAGATTAATGCTACTATGTAGGACAGATACATATTCACCAGCCGGTGTACGGCTGCCGGAATGGAACTTTGCTGTGAAGAGCTGTTTTGTCTAATGGCTATGGCCACAGGCTTCTACAATAAAGACTCATTCTTACATACCCACAACTTCTCATGGCTTCTCTGTCTATACCAGGCGTCCAAGAAGGTCCAGCGCCTGGCAGAGGGGCTTGGCCCCAACAGTTAGTGCAATGGCAGGGTGTGAGAAGGAACCTGCCCTGACAGTTGTTCATAGTGGAGCAGAATTTAGAAGAATACATGGACGTAGAGCAGCAGTGCTGTGCAGTGCTCTAGCTGTTCTGATAAAAGCGACTGAAAGTTACCTATCCAGCCCTAGCTGGCTTGGCTCAGTGGATAGAGTGTCAGCCTGTGGACTGAAGGGTCCCCTCCCGGGTTCGATTCCAGCCAAGGGCACATGCCTGGGCTGTGGGCTCGTTCCCCAGTAGGGGGTGTGCAGGAGGCAGCCAATCAATGATTCTCTCTCATCACTGATGTTTCTCTCTCTCCCCTTCTCCCTTCCTCTCTGAAATCAATAAATATATTTAAAAGAAAGTTACCTATCCAACACACCAGATCTCATACTGTTTACCCATTTTTTTCTGCCTCATCTCACAATATGGATACTTCCTGGGAACAATTATCCTGAGTTTTGAGTTTTAAAAAAATCCACAGCTGGCAGAACGTTTTGAGTGGGAAATAAGACCTACTTTGGGCACCAAAAAAAGTGAGCAATGCTTCTGGCTGACTCTGCAGACTAGAAGCTAATTTCTGCTCTATTATCCCTTGTGGGCACAAGAATATAATTTATGTATAAAAGTATTTAGAGAGCTAATTATGTCCAAAACGTAAGAAGTTGTGTGTGTATATGCAAAACTTAACTGTGATTATGGGAGAAACTAAACATATTTGGGCATCTTTTTAAAAAGTCAGTTATTTACCTATTTGTGTCAACATTCAGAAACAGAAGGAAAAAATTACATGGAAGGAAGATCTAATATAAAACTATGTATTCAAATCTTTGAAACTATGTAAACAAAACACCATCAATATTTTTATGTCATTGACAATAGCCTTTAAAAACACCTGGTGGAGAAAAAAAATTATAGCTAGCTTATATGACAAGTAATAAATATTGATAATTTTTAACTATATTAATACAATCAGAACATTTTAAGATAAAATTTATCCCTTTCAAGTAAATCTATTCAGAAAGTATTACACTTTACTTCTATAGAGCAAATGATAAAAAATTAGATGTTCTAATTGGGTATTTTAATTAAATTAAAAATGAAAAATTAGATGGGGCACCATATAAATTACCTCTGTGGTCATAACAAGACAAGATGCTGTAGGATTAATAGTAACATCTCCCGTCATCAGACCCACATCTTGAAATTCTTCATACATTTCACGGTACTTCTGGTTACTCAGAGCCTTAATCGGGCTGGTAAATATCACACGCTGTTTTTCCCTTAAGGCCAATGCGATGGCATACCTAAAAATGGGAAAGCAAACAAGAACAAAGTATTTACAAAGCCTTTTCTTTAAAGTATATGACTATGTGCATCTGAAACTAATATAATAATGTATGTCAACTGTAATTGAAAAGGAAAAATGATAAATACCAAAAAAATTTAATTTGAAAAATTCTGTTAGCATATAAATTGTCTGTTTTTGATAATTACTTATCCTAAATTGACTTTCCAAAACATTAATATCTTTTTTTATTTGCTATCAACAAACTGTTATAGTAATAAGCCTATATAATAAAAGCCTAATATGCTACATGTCTGACTGTTCATTAGACCAGTTGCTATGATGCGCACTGACCACCAGGAGGCAGAAGCTCTGACCGGTAGGTTAGCTTGCTGCTGGGGTCCATAGATTGGAACTGGGTGAGAGGACACCCCCTGGAGCCCTCTCATGGTTCCTCCCAGGCCAGCCAACCTCCTGTGGTTCACTCCTTGGCCTCTAAGGTATTTCTTCCAATTAATTTCCTTTCATTGTGCACAAATTTGTGCAGCGGGACTCTAGTTATTATTATGATAAACCTAAATTGTAGTGATCTAAAACAAAAAGAATTTTACCTCTGGTGTTGGAATGAATGTAACTTAATTACTAATACCAATGGATTATTCATGGTTACCCTATTTCCTGTAAGCAAAATAGCCTCTGGTCCTATAAGTGGGCCTCCAGAAGTTCAGAGCCTCTGCCTGTCGGTTTATATATATAGAGTACGAACAATTAGAAAACACTGGAAAACGCTGTTTCTTCTTTTGAGTTTCACAGGTAAGTTAATCCACATATAGTCTTTCCCCACAGGTCAGAGTTACCAAGTCAGTCCTGGGTTGAAAACCATGGGGAGCAATACTTACTAGTAAGTCAGACTAACTACACTTAAACACAGACTGCAGTAAGAGCTTAAAGAGCATTACATAGTGATGAAGGGCTATTCAACAAGATCGACACCTGTGAAATGTCTACGTACCAACACAGAAGCACCTACATGTATCAACAGACCTAAACGTCACATCGAGAAAGCTACTCACTCGGCGCAAACAGTTTTTCCGGCTGACGTATGTGCAGACACTAAAACAGACTGATTATTGTCAACGCACTGGATGGCTTCTCTCTGAAAAGCGTCAAGAATGAACGGGTATTCCTATAAAAATACACACAGATTAACATCCGTATGAAAATTCTAGCCACAGAGCACACTTAAAATCAAGAGCCATTATCCTCATTAGCATTCTGGAAGATTTCTTTATGATTCTATGTATTTAGAATATATACCACCCACTAGAGGAAGAGTTAAAAAATTTTTAGACAGCATAGAAGTTAATTCTGTTGTGCCATCTTCCAAATATGGTCATGTGCTTACATGTACGTTACATTACTTGAAATATACTAAACATTACTTTTATCAAGGACATGCTTTGTGTTAGGCATTTTGCAACAAATTTCCATGTATGATTACTAACACTCCCAACAACCCCTAACTACGTTTTCTTTTCTTTCACAGATGGAAACGGGGCCCTGGACAGTGAAGTTTCTCACTAGCACTCTCAGCAGAGGTTTTACTAGAAGCTGTTAAACTTCTAAAACTAAAGGCAAAGCTCATTGCACATGTGCACTGTTTTCTGGAGAAAGATTGGTCATTTGCATGAGATTCTTTAAAAAGGTTGAGAACCATTAATTTTTTTAAAATGTCATCACATGATGCTTGGCTCTCAGCATGTTTTTACTGATTCGGTTCTCACTGTATTTAATTTCAGGTAGCTGACTCTTAGTATATATACACTATAGCGCATAAAAATCTCACTTGAAAGAATTTATCTTCAAGATATTTTAGGAAAAAGAGACTCACAAAACTTTAAAAACTGTATTGCCCAAAGTACAGACCTTTGCAGCTTTTCCAACTCGTGGTTTAAGTGGTATATAATCTTCATCTGCAGGAAGTGCAACCTGATGTAGAAATAGTTAAATAAATCACCAACTTACTATTTAAGAACTGATGCATTCAGCACTCCATGACCAATGATGGTTTGAAAAATAAAGGTGATGAACTAGTGTTTGACAGTCCTGGACACTGAAACTAAGTTACTGCCTTTAAGAACAAGTCAAAATGCTAACGCTACAACACTCAAAAACCTCTGCCAGTGTTTAACCTAAAGACAATGTAACCAGGAGCTTCTAAGTCTGTCTCCCTGAAGAAGCTGTTTTTCAGGTCTAGGACCTTTCTTATGCATTGCCTGACATTAATGAATGTTCAAAAAAGCTGAATGGACAAAAGAGGGATGTCACTGTATGAAAGAAAACTATGTGGAATAAAATAATGCTTTCTATTTCCTGGAACAGAAAATTTCCCTCCAGTGAAGATTAAGATCTGGAGAGCAGTTCACAATTATATCTAAATTCCCAAGACTTAAACCACCTTGTGGCAAAGCAATGAGACTGCAACACACGCCATCAGAGCAAGACAGGAAGAGCCTGTGCCCTGCAGTGGCACTGCTACTTGACCTCAGGAGAATGGGAATGAACGTGTACTGACCACCTGCTCTGTGCTGAGGGTCTTTCCTAATTTTCTGATAGAATCCCACAGTCACCCCATGAGATAAACTCCATTATTCCAAGTTTATGAATTAAAAAACCAATGACAAAGATAAATAAGAAATTTATCACAGACTGTACGTAGTTAGAAAATGTGCTGTACAAGGATCTGAGCTCAGGCTTGGCTACAAGGCCCCAGGTCCTTCCACTAGACTGTCCACTCCACAGAAACTCCTTACTGTTTCCAAAGCCTTCAAGGCCAAACTGCTTGCTGACCATCACACGAGACAGCCCCAGACAAAATCCCATTTATCACACCAACCTGATGGACACTGTGCTTACCTCATGTGTACACCCTTCAACAGTTTCAACTGACTGCACCTTCACCCTGGGCATCAAGTCAGCCAAGCTTAAAAAAAAAAAGTTCAAGTTACCTTAGAATAAATGATCCTAAATAATAAAAGGCTAATTTGCAAATTGACCGAATGGCATAACTACCGGTATCTATGACACGCACTGACCCCAGGGGGCAGACATTCAATGCAGGAGCTGCCCGCAGTGATCACTGTGCTCCCACAGGGAAAGTGCCGCTCAGCCAGAAGGTGAAGTGGGCCTTCACGGCAGTGCTAAGGATATCCGACTAAGCTGTCAGTCAGACATCCCCCAAGGGCAGCTGGACTGTGAGAGGGCGCAGGCTGGGCTAAGGAGGGAACACCCCCTGCCCCATGCACAAGTTTCATGCACCAGGCCTCTTGTGTTTCTATAATTAGATAGTGAGCCTCCCATTGGCACTCTTAAGGAAAATAACAATGCCCAATTAACAGTATTTCCGACTGGAAAAGGTTTGGCTATTTTGAATATTCAAAAGTTTTTCACATTATTCAAATATATGCTGAGAATTCAAAATAATCAGTTAACAAATACAGAACAGTCTCCAAGTGGATTATTCAAAGAATTACGACTTAGTTCCAGTAACTATGTTGAATAAAAAATACCTCTACAAAGCAGTCACTACTTCCGACATAAAGCTGGTTATAAAAACCATCACATGATAGCAAGTACAAAATAAACTAGTCTAATCCAGATGCTGCTGCACGTTACAGAAGTGCTCCTTATTCTCACCAAAATCTTAAGCTACACATATGGAAAACAGATGGGCTAGATTCATTAATCTCTTAGTGACTATACTTCTGATTTTTACTTTAAATCAACAATCATGCTTTGGATAAAACCCTAGGGTTACTTCAATAAGCAACAATGACTTTTTAAATTGCCAATTATATTTTTTTAAACTATTCCACTAGCTTGAGCAAAGAGTGTACATTAAATATTTCAGTGACACATCTACCACCATATACAGTAGCTACTGTTGCTAACTACACTACCAGCCAACTGGTTAAAAAAGAAATCGTAAGTTCTTCATGGTAGTGCCAAGCTAGAATATGACGTACAAGGCGAGACGCAAAGCCATGAAGATCATCACAGGGGAATAAGTGGATTACTTAAGAAATTGGCATCAACTTCTAGAAAGTTCCCACTTTCACTATCAGAGCAACAGCAGCTACTGCAGCCACAGACATCCCTGGGTCTCCCTAGATGAGTAGTCTTGCTTCACAGCCACCCTCCTGCTCCACACAAGAGTGAAAACCTAACTCCTCCTAATGGCCCTGCTCACTACTCCTTCTCTTGGGTCAGTTTTATGCCTTTTTATTCCACTCTCCTTGGGACATTAATGAATGAAGGAAGTATGTCATTTCTTCTTTTTTTAAAAACCAGGCTTCAACATTCTCAAAATTGCATTCTAAAGTATTAAAACATCTTTTCTACACTGACTCCATTTCCCCAAACTTAGTTAAATGTTCTCTATTTATATGCTCTTAAAATTACAAAAAGAATGTCTTCATTTCTCTACCTCAGCATGCACTTTCATCAACATGGAAGCAGTTTTCAAAACTTCATGCAACTATCAACTTACGAGTCACTAACATTTCTGACAACGGAAACACTACCTTAAGTCTTCAGTTATTGACTCTTCTACCCTGGGCTTCTTTCCAAAAATGGGTTCATCTGTGCCTTCAAAATCCACATTTCTCTTGGCTTTTCCAACACTGGTTGACTCGGATTGTAAATTCCCATCAGAACGTTTCCTGAGAAGTAAACGGTTTAGAATGAATTCTGCAGTACTGGTTAAGAGTGACTTGGTAAAATCCATTAATTTACCAGGAAACCAAACACATAACTAGATGCCTAAGTTGGTCAACATCGAAGTTCCTCAGGATACAACCGATTTCTTTTAAAACTGATAAAGAGAAAGAATCAAGCATTTATCCTACCTTTCTTCTATGAACTGTATTTCAAAGCAAATAGTTGGGGAGGGAATGTGGGAATCTCTTTCTAATAGATGGATTCCAGGTAATAAATGCAGAAAAAAAAAATGATAAAAAGAAAAAACACCATTTTTAACTACTAGTGAAATAATGGAGTTAGGCAATCATCACAGATGCTGAAGTCATGATGAGAGAGGTCGATGGGCGGTCAGGCTGACACAACCCAGAAGCTTGAACACCATGCAATGCAATAGGAACCAAGCACACAGCACCACTAAGTATTCTTATTTAAAACAATTGAACCTGAGTGTAATTAAGTTCCTTGCCCTATTATAGTACACGCATAATCCAAGTTACACTTGTAATTCTAAATTTCTAGTAACTATATTAAAAGACTTTAAAAGAAACCAACTTTATTTCCTTTAGCCTAATATATATTCAAAGTATTGTCATTTCAATATATTATCCAGAGAAAAAATATTGAGGTATTTTACATTTTCTTAGGTCTTCAAAATCCCTGTGTGTTTCACTCACAGCACATTTCAAGTCTGACAGGCGCCTTTTTCAGGCTCAAGAGCTACTGCTGGGCGGTGCCTATTCTATCAGGCAGCGTGACTCTGGACAGGACAGTTCAGCGATTCTTCAGGACAGTTAGACGGCAGGACAGGGAAGCAAACGCAGCACGTGGGGAACGACAGGACAGAAACCGGTTTCTCCTAGTGCCAGTTGCCGTCACATGCTGATGACGCAGGGAAAGATGAGGAGACTGTTGTAGAGTAAGTCTTAAGGGGTCTAACAACCTAAATCCGGGGTTCTCAAACTGCGGGCCGTGGGCCACATGCGGCCGCCGAAAACATTTATTGGGCCCGCCAGGTGTTTTTGCCGCCCCGTGTGCATAGGAATTTGTTCATAGTTTTTTTTAAACTATAGTCCGGCCCTCGAACGGTCTGAGGGACAGTGAACTGGCCCCCTGTTTAAAAAGTTTGAGGACCCCTGACCTAAATAGTGCATGGACTTTGGATTTTGATTCAAATAAACCAACCAAAAAACGAAAAAAAACAACCTTTGAGATAACTGAAAATTTCACTCTAGATTCAATAACATTAACCCCTTCCCCGGCAGAAACGTGTATACTCGTTTTCACAAAATGTTCTTTTTCAGTCGTCGACGAGTATACTAAGAAAATATGGTAAAAAAAATATGGTTTATAGGAAGACGAGTTTCATAACCAGCATCAAAAATACTATATAGAACCAAAATAAAAAAATTAGTCTGAAAAAGAAACGTTTTTAACAAAAAAATTGTTGGGGAAGGGGTTAAGGAATTACTGAAAGGTTGTTGGGTGTAATAATGGTATTACGGTTATGTCAGAAAAGAAAATCATTATCAGTAAAGAGATGCATACTGAAATATTTAGGGAGAAATAACATGATGAGGAGCATCTGATTTACAAAAGAAGGGTGTGAGAATAGGGTGACAATGACTTGATATTGCTGAAGCTGATCTAAGGGTCTATGGAGTCTTTCATACTATTCCCTCTCTGGAGAATTCTCATAAAGTTATACTTTAAAACTACCCACAGCCTTAGCCGGTTTGGCTCAGTGGATAGAGTGTCCGCCTGCAGACGGAAGGTCCTGGGTTTGATTCCCCGTCAGGGCACATACCCAGCGTGTGGGCTCGATCCCTGGTAGGGAATGTGCAGCCGATCAATGATTCTCTCATCATTGATGTTTCTCTCTCTCTCTCTCTCTCTCCCTCTCTCAAATCAACGAAAATCTATTTTTTTTATATTTTATTGATTTTTTACAGAGAGGAAGGGAGAGAGATAGAGAGTTAGAAACATCGATGAGAGAGAAACATCAATCAGCTGCCTCCTGAACACTCCCCACTGGGGATGTGCCCACAACCAAGGTACATGCCCTTGACCGGAATCGAACCTGGGACCCTTCAGTCCGCAGGCCGACGCTCTATCCACTGAGCCAAACCGGTTAGGGCGAAAATCTATTTTTTAAAGGAAAAAACAAACACTACCCACTTGGTTAAACACATAATTCCCTCTTAAGTTCCATGACTTGCCCTCCTGTGTTACACAAATCAAATGGAAATCACGCTACACGTGTTGGTTACACATAATACTTGGAATCGGGCAAGTTGGATTCTTTCCTAAAAACACCTACAAGACAAGACCTATCCAGAAGAGCTGGTCGTGAAGAAAACCCCGTAAGTTACTAACGTTCTACGTTTCCTTACATACTTCCCCTCGCTAATGCTCACACGTCCTGATAAGGCTAAAATGTAAATTAGGTTACTTTCACCCTGACCGGTTTGGCTCAGTGGACAGAGCGTCGGCCTGCGGACTGAAGGGTCCCAGGTTCGGTTCCGGTCAAGGGCATGTACCTGGGTTGTGGGCACATCCCCAGTGGGGGCTGTGCAGGAGGCAGCTGATCGATGTTTCTCTCTCATCGATGTTTCTAACTCTCTATCCCTCTCCCTTCCTCTCTGTAAAAAGTCAATAAAATATATTTTTTTAAAAATAAATTGGGGAGGGGGGGGGAGACCCAGCACTTTCCTTAGGATTTCCTTAACAAACCCAACGACAGCCAACCTTTGGAAGACCTGCGCTGTCAGGCGCTCTATCTACGCCGACGGTCACTGAACCACCGCAGTGACCAGCCCCAGGGGTGGGCCAGCACCTCCGCCTCTGAGCTGGGAAACGGCCCGTTTCTCTCCCCTTTCCCGCGGCTGCCGTCCCTTCCCCCTGCCAGGCCACCCACGTCGGGTTTTCCACGCTTCGTGACCCTTTACTCCCGCCAGGCACGGTTCCGGTGATGCTCAGCACGAGACCGGACCTCGCCCGCCCGCGCCCCCCGCCACGCGCGGCCCAGAGCCACCAGAGCCCAAGCGCCTGCGCACCCCGGGGACCCCGGGACCCCGCTCCGGACTACATGCTCCTCCCTCTTCAACACCGTCCTCGAACCCCCCACCTCCCGAGGCCACTCAATGGACACCCCACGTCCTCGGGCCGTTTAAGGGGCTCGCGTTTCCTCTCTCAGCGCGAAGAGAGGAAAAAGCACGTTGGCCCCGTCGCCTACCCGGCCTTCTCCGCCGGCCCCGGAGGCCCCTTCCATTTCCCCTTCTCCTTGTCCTTCCTGCTTCCAGGCGCAGCGGCGGAGTCGTCCTCGAACACGCTGAAGAGCTCATCCCCGAAGGCGTCCGCCATCTTCCGGAGATGCAGTCCGACCCGCTGCTACCCACAATGCTCCGCGCCCACGCCGGCCGTGACGCTTGGAGGCCTCGACGGTGGCCCGCGGGAGGCAAAAGTGGTCGAGTCGAGCAGCCGCCGCGAAACCTCTCTCTTTTCTCTTTCCTGACTTTCCCTTCCTTTCCTGCCCTTAGGAACTTTCCTTCCTTTTCCTTCCTTCCCAACCTTTGGGATCTTCTCTCCCTTTCCGACCACTAGCGGGTGAGTAGCGCAGAGGCTGCAGCGAGCTTGTCACGCTGCGGGGACGAAGGGGCGGGGCGGGACGAGGAGGCGGGGCCTCCGTGCGCCGGACCAATCGCGAGGCGGCGCCCGTAAGACGCCCGGATGGAGGACGCCCACTGGCGGCGCGGGGTCCGGGCGCTGTGAAGAGGTTCG